ATATATATATGCCCTAAGCAGGCCTTGTAAAGTGTAATCCGACTGGACCCATAGAGGAAGTAAAATAATTATTTTACTTACTCTATGACTGGACCTAAAATACTCTTCAGCCCGGTTTCAGGTACAAACCAATATTTATCGTGGGCCAAAATAACATGTGCCAAAAAATCACAGATACTTGGAACAGGTACGAGCTTGCAACAGTCACACATGGAACCTGTGCCTGAAAAATACTGGTTTATGTCATCCCTATTGCATACATAAAGGAACAAAAGGCATTCGGTCATAATTTATCGCTGACCTAACAGATTTGCACCCAAATTACTAGGAAGTGGGGTGGATATTCTCAATGGAACAGTTAGTGCAGTCGGATTAGATTAGATTTTTTCCGGGCACTAAATAGATGAAAGTATTTTTTTAAAGTTTTTTATAATTAATTTGGTTTTGCTTCAAAAAATTTCACTACAACTTTTTTGAAGGTGTTTGTGATATTTTAGAAGTGGTATAAATTTTAGTTTCAAATATTCATAACTTTTTGTGCATTCGTATTTGTTATGTAAAAAGGGCTCTTGCCAGATTCTAAATATATTTTTCTTGAAAAGTCGGAGAGACTTCTCTGAGGCTGTATTTTACTAGTAAAGAGTTATACTACCTTACGTTAACGTACAATAAATTAAAATTGCATTACTGACTGACCAAAAAAAGTTATGGTACGATTTTCTTGAAACAAAACTAAATTAATTATATAAAATTAACAAAACTCTAAAATCGATTTTTTTTTTAATTTTGAGTAAACTAATAAAGGGATTTTAATGTAGTTTATCTGATATCATAGGTATTTTTAATACTTGAAAAACAGGATAAAACTTTTTTCAATAGCGGTTCAACAGTTATGCACAAAAAACGGGCTTTCGCACTTTCTTTAATTATTTATAAATAATTGTTTATAAACAATGTTCCACAGCCGGAAATCGAGCTATTGTCTCAATATTCTCACATCCTTCCGAACAACTTCCAATAATCTCTTACCTTCATATTTTAGTGCTCGAAACAGGCCTTTTCCGACTGGGCTCAAAATACGCTTCAGCCTGGTTTCAGGTACAAACCAATATTTCCAAAAATCACAGCACTTGGAACAGGTACGAGCTTGGAACAGGCACACATGGAACCTGTGTCTGAAAAATACTGGTTTGTGTCATCCCTAGTTTGAGCGTGTCACTGAGAAATATGGCGGTTGATGACAAACAATCAATCTGAATTCCTCAATCATCTCAGAAAGTTTATATTCAGTTATAAGCTTTAAAAAATATAAGAAGAGAAGACCAAATTAACTAGACCGAAAAGTCTTGAGTTGTGTTGGACTATTCAGTGATAATAAGTGGATGGCTAGTTTTTCTTAAATCAAATAAATAATCCTGGCAACACCGCCGTTACGCGCAGTATTTCTACGGACTACGACCAGCTACGACTCTACGAAAGCTGTTTTGCTCAATTTCTTGCTCACATTCTTTTTCACATTCTGCTCCGTCTGTTTAGAGTCGTTGTCACGCTACGTTGTGCCGGTATAAAAGTTATCAGTGCTTTTCCCCATCCAGCTTAAAAATGGGTGACGGTAAGTCGAATCTTATATTATAAGCGTAATGGAAGAGCATCGTTGTTGCTTTTATTGAACAACAATTCCGATTTGTTGTATTCTATACCCAGAACAAAATATTTTTTGGATAAAGTGCATTTTGGCGCCTATAATGGAATTTCTTTGGAAAGAAGCGCACTTATTTTTTAGTTACAAGCTTTTTACTTCTACAATATTTTCATTCTTATGCAACGTACAGATGTAAAAACCTACCGAATCATAGAAGCAGTTTTCTGAAATGGACGCCGGCTTTGGGCGCCATTTTGCCAATTTGAACTGTCCGTCGTTTCGTTCAGTCTCAAATTGGATCTTTTCCACCTGGAAAATCAAAACTCAATGGATCACTCAAATGTCTTCAATATCATATTTAGAGGTTTTTTTAAATTTATAAGCTGTAAGAATTCGTTCAATAAAATCAAACATCAAACCTTTATATGCAACAAACTATTGCAATTAATTATAGGGCGTTAGTTTGTACGAATTAATATCGTCAAGTTCGAGTACTTTACGTAGTAATTTATCAATACAACGTGAAACGTGTTTCATCATTAGGTCAACGTGACGTTACAAACTTTGAGTAACGGCTTCTCTTCCATGAGGTTTCAGTCAATCGAGCGTGATCTACAGAAATTAACCAACTGGCAATATACTCAAATTCATCGATCAAATACTTCATAATACATATTTGTAAAGCCCCAGTGATACTTATCGGGTACATCTGATTTTTCTGAGTCCGACAAAGCTGCAATTTGTTTGCAATCATGTTTCAACTTGGTACCTAATGCTACAGAATTATTCTTCCAAGTTGTTTTGGGTTAGTGAGCAAGCAGCTTCAGTGAGAGAAAATCTTTGATAGTCCATAATTTTTCTTGAAGAACACTTACGCAGTTTGAAATTCGCTTTTCCAAAACAATGTATTGATGCACGAAAATGAGATGATTGTTCGGTGCTATTTGCTGCTAAATTGTGTTTTATGATTCAACAATTCATGACTAAGTACAAAAATTTTGCATGATGTATATTATACCTATTACATATCCTACTTGCAAAATAGTGCATGATGCATAATAGAGTTCCGCAAAAGTTTGAGCATCTTTTCCGACTGCAAGATGGTTTATTGTTTTGGGAATTCGGTCTGGGCCGTGGTAAAGAAAAACTAGCTACCAAGCTTTCGTCAATTTATTGTCGCCTTCCACCGCCTATTCAGGGCTGTTACATTTTTACACAAATTTCAATCAGATATGTTTGAAACAAAAGGGTATAAAAGTAAAAAAAACTGAATTGCGAATCAGTTACTGCTAATTGTGTGTCCATAAGAACGCTGGGAACCCTCCGGAATATTCTATCATTTTTTGTACAGCTTGATGAAATTTAATCTTTCAGTCACATTGTTTGGTCTAAATTTATTTGTCTTGGATTACAATTTTTTTTATATATGTACATACAAAAACATTTATACACGATCAACATGTTTTTCTGCATAAATAACGAGACAGACTACACTAAATACGTTTAATAATGAGCTGAAAGCCCTGTACTTGATTGATTGTATTGATTTCGCCTATTGAGATTTTTTAGCTCGTTGATAGTCAGATGGTGGACTATTTATTTGAATCAGTAAAATTTAAATTTACATGATGAGTACATTCATCAGTAATAGCTCTTTTACACGAGGATACATACAGAAATCTCATACTCATTGCAGACTTGTAGCAAAACTGTAAAGTATTAGCCGGGTTCTCATAAGTCCATAAAGACCCATAGAAAATCGGGCCCCGGAAGTTGTAAAATTGCTGGCGACTGGAACTCAAGGGAGACCGAAGTTTAGTTGCCGCAACTGTATCTGCGCGAAGTATCCCTGTCTGTATGGTTCCATAACGCTCTTTGTTAAACGTGTATCCTCCTGTAAAAGGGCTCTAAACCCGCCGAGGTACACTCAACAAGATTTTATCCACAGCTTAGTTGCTTTCGTTTTTCCTTGTTTTAAATCATTTCAATTGGAGGAATAATTAACATAACTATCATAATTATGCTTTTCAGCATATGGTGGTGGCGGCGGATATGACTATTCTCAACCTCCTCCCACGGGCTATCCCAGTTATGGGCAGCAACAAGGGGGATATGGCCAGCAAGGAGGCGGCTACGGTCAAGATCAATCTCAAGGAGGTTGGGGCCAACAAGGCGGAGGTGGTGGTAGAGGTGGACCTCCAGGGGGCGGATATGGAGGCGGCCAACAAGGTAAGGAGAATCTGATCGGAAACTTATTGGGGTGCTTTACGACATAGGCATAGAAGTAATTTACTCTATATTTTACTTGTCTACCTTCTATGTCGGAAATGATAACTTTGAATGATAGTCCTTGTTGTTGGCCCATAACTACAAGGGTAGAAAATCATTAGGACATTTTTTTAATTTCAATGATTTCAAGAAAATCCTTTGCTAGTATTTGAAGCGTGTTTATAAATGTGTTAAATTTTTCAGGTGGCTACGGTGGTGGCGGCGGAGGAGGCGGTGGTGGCGGTTATGGTGGACAAAGCGGTGGAGGATATGGAGGCGGTGGCGGCGGTTTTGGAGGTAAGTTTATTACAATTTAGACAATGTATGACTGTCCTTAGTTGTAAGGAAAAATTACGACTTTTTCTACAAGGAACAATTTGTCATTATTTCACTTGAAAATATTATTTTACGATTCTTTTTTAGGTGGTAGAGACCGTGGAAGTTCTGGAGGAGGAATGGATCGTGGCTTTGGGTGAGTGTTCTATTCATTTTTAATCATTATTTCATAAGTACTGGTTATTTGGTATTTGCGGTTTTGCTACTCGAAGTCTTACAAAATCAATTTGAAAACGTTATTGGTAATTTGCTAAAGTAGTGTTGACGAACACATTTAAAAGGTTTACTTTTTAAGGTGAGTTCACAAGTCAATTCAGTCTAAAGTAAGAGCGCTTTACATTAAGTAAAAAGGTGTAGACAATGGTTTTCTAGACAATAATCTACAAAAATTAATGTGCCCCTCGAGTTTTAACAGTTTGTCTATAGTGTTTTAAAATATAATCTAAAGTGATTCAGTTCGCTACTTAGAAGTACTACGAAATAGTGTCTTAGAATAGATTTAGTAACAGCCAATCAAGAGTTTCACATTTGTCTCCAACCGATATTTTTTTCTAGATTTGAAAAGTCTTAAAAGTTGGAGGTGGAATTGTTGATCTTGGGTTTAGATGAGTTTTTAATGACTGTAATTTCTAATGCATTATTTATTTTTGATAGTTCCTGTTTCAGACATATCTTCTATTTGACTTGACTGCATACATTCAAAGTTCATAATTTTATTATTTTTATGATTATGTTTAACTTGGAAGTACTAATTGGTACATCTCGCTAGAATAGACTGGCACACAAACGGGGCGACAAAAGTTGAGCGGCGGGAAATCTGATATCACTTAGCGTAAGCTTTACAACTGCCTCAAAGTACTTTAGATTATTCAAGACCCCCTCAATGATAGGGTGGTTAACTCTCAACTAACTATAAAGGGTGGTTAACTCAATGTAAGCACATATCGGGGATTACGTGCTGGTTAACTGACTCAAATAACTTGGTACATAGATCAATGATCATCAGTTTAGTACAATTTTCTACTAGTAAATAATTCTTAAAGCAAGTGAAACTGTCTGTATATGATTTGCTACAAATGTTTATCTTGCTATTTAAATACTCCCTGACAAGGCTTTAGGAAAATTATCGGATCAGGTAATATTTTGGATTATAGGTACTATGTGGAATATGTGTTGTCTGAATGAACAATTCACTGGGTTCGAATGAACATTTGTTGGTATTTTTGTAAGCACAAGCCTCATTAAACTTTTGGTATTTACAAAGTGTTTAAATATGAGCAAACACCGACTAGACTTTCGACTAACAACAACTGGACTAGATTTTCACATAGGTAGGCATCGGTTCTGAAGAAGAAACTAGGAAAAGAACTCACAGAATCGAGAGTACGCATCAATGAGTGTCAAGGGTTTAGTCAAGAAGTTGGCTAGTTGGGTTTCGCCCTAGCCTCTGATTGGCAAATTTGGTCACTTCCCCAAGCATTTACTGATGAGTTATTCTTCTGTTTTAGAGGTGGCCAGCGTGGCGGTTATGGCAAAGGTAAAAGCACCAATGCCCTTTTGTGGCTTGGTAGCCTTTTGATATTATTTATTTACTTATAATGAACCGTTTTTCACATTTTACAAATATATATATATTGATAGTTTGGATGGGATTAATTTGGCACTGAAAGAAAACACTAAACGTTATAATTTGCTATAATTTAAATTTCTTCAGAATGAAAACAATTTTAAATGTCGCTTTTCTGTTGCGTGAGCTTAATTTATTTGAACAAGTTAGACACATCTTGCGTTCTTTCAGTGCGCTTAGTTACGTAAATAATGTTAGGCATAAATTCTTCAAAAATACGTTATTTTTTATCTGGTCAAAGCGTAATTTGTAGTAGGGCAGCTATAAAAAAATGCATTTTGGCATTAAAAAACCACCGAAATGGCTAAATCTAAAGTCTAAATAATATTCATTGCATTATCGGATGTGTTGCGTTACAAAACAATTGCAAAATCACGCAAGTTGTAACATGGGTTACAACCGGTTACAAAAATCAGGATAAAGGGGATATAAAGTAATTAAATTAAAATATCCCTGTTCAGTAGATTTAAGCGCAAAAGGTATTTTGACGGTTGATATTAGTGGTGTGAGATTTAATTACTTTGAATACCGTACCGACTAGATACTTTGGATTCAAAACTCGTTACTTCGGATCAGTTATTCAAGTACTCATTCTAGTCGTGAGTCTTACGAAAGTCGAGGACAAAATATTGGTATATTATTAATGCTCTTTAGATTTGTTACACGCACACTTTAGTTATACAAATCATATGGAACTCTTGAAATTATGGTTTCCCTAACAGATTACGTCTAAGAAAATCAGACCATTTTTTTTAAGTCAGTTGTTAATTGGTTCCCTATTATTGTACGCAGGTATTTGAAACCCCACGGTTGTGCATACTTCCAGTTTCTAAATAAATATGTTTTAAACAATTTTTGAAGTTATTTAACTCTGTGAAGCAAGATGTCACATTAATAAATAAATGTTGCTATCTACAGTAGCAGCACAGTGCGACAATTATCTATTTTAATAAACGTCTCTTACAAATCTGCAGTTTACACAAAAGTTACAATTGTCATGTTACATAAATGTAAATATAAAAATTCTAGATTACCATGCGGCAACGGACAACTCTGTTTTTAGTGATTAGGAACGACCGACGTTGAAAATCGAACGCGGCTGTCGGTATCCATCCGTATCATCGGTGCTGGTATTACCAGTTAGTTTAGTTACTAGTTAGTCTGTGCGAGTACTCTGGATCTATCGGTTTAGGGTTCGGTACTGGTACTGATCTACCAGATACTTTGGTTGCCAGTTAGTCTAGTACTAGTAGCGTATTCGGATTCGGACTCGAAGGTTAGGATGGGTGACTTGATTTTCCGAGAACGATTACTGATTACTTGAATACTGGTTTGATATCTTGGTTCGGTATTCGTTACTTTGGATGCTGATGAGTAATGAGTACTGGAATACCGATTAGGTACTTTTTCCCACCACTAGTTGATATACTGTTTAGTTATGTAGATGTACTTTAACATTAAAAACGGTTGAGCCGTTCCGGGAAATTTATGGAAAGGACTAATGATTGGTTATCAAAGTTACATGTTTAATAAGCAAAATTGGAATAGTATGGTGTGATAGGGAAGATAGTGTATAAAATGTATTTGTTAATCGCAGTAAAGCGACCTAAACAGATACAGAATTTGTGATCGACTGCGGCATATGGTTTTTACAGGCTTGTCCCAATGCGTCAAGGTTTTTGGTGTATAAATATAATTAGGTCTCAGTAAAGTTTGTTTTTTACAATAGCTAATTCTTATCACGCGCCACTAGTCAAAGAATTACCCTTGTTACGTTATAGGAATAAGAATTTGTTTAATATTATTTCTTTCGTGACTAATTTTGTACCATTTACAGGTGATGGAAATCTCGTTATTCAACATGACACAGTATTTGTTTCTGGAATGGACCCTAGTTTTACTGAGGACGATATCGCTGATCATTTCGGATCTATTGGCATCGTTAAGGTAATGGCGCAACCACCCTACAAAATTTGCGACCTGCACTCTGTGCTTGAATACTGCAATATTCAAGTTCAATTTTGAAGCGTCGCTAAACTATGATTCAGCTCCTATTCATCAATTATCAGCTTTTATTTGATAACTGACTTATTATGCCTGCAACATTTGAATCTTTGGCACTTATTTTTTGATAAATGTTTTTTTAAGTTTCGGTATTTATGTATATGTTATTGTAGATGGACAGGCGCACAAACAAGAAGAAAGTTTGGCTGTACAAAGACAAGAACACTGGTCTTTCAAAAGGCGAAGCCACAGTAACTTATGACGACGCCGACGCGGCTCAAAGTGCCATCAAATGGTTTGATGGTAAAGATTTTAGAGGCTCAGTCATTAAGGTTAGTTTGGTCTTTCAAAATTAGTAATTTTCTTTTGTTTTAACGCGAGGCTGTTTCAGGTCCAGTTAGCCACGAAAAGAGATAACTGGAGTGGCGGATTAGGGGGACGTGGAGGCGGTGGTGGTGGCCGAGGAGGTGGCGGATTTGGTGGAGGCCGAGGAGGTGGCGGCGGTGGTGGAGGATTTGGAGGAGGACGTGGAGGCGACAGAGGTAGGGGTAGAGGTAAAGTATTTCCAATTTCCCGAGTAGATTCGTGCCAGCTTTAACAGTCGAGCAATATGTTTGTGTGGCTCATTCCGCATTTAACTGCTTTCAATCTGCAAACATCTTGTTCGGAAAGTATCACTTTCTACAAGGCATTTTTGGACTAGCTTTGCTGTTAACACTTCTTTAATTTTTTGCCTTAATATCAATCGCTAGCTCTAAATGAGAGAAATAATTAGATATCTTTGTGTAGGTGGCGGCGGCGGAGGTGGTCGTGATCGTGAATCAAGAGACGGAGACTGGAAATGCAGTAATCCTGAATGTGCAAATACTAACTTTGCCTGGAGAAACGAGTGCAATAGATGTGGGGAACAGAAACCCGCTGGTGGTGGTGGTGGTAAGTATTTAAAACCATGTTTGCTAATGTTGAATATGTGTAAATACCATAAAAAGAACATTTTAGAGTGCCGTGATAGGCTAATATCTAGTTCTGCCTTGGTAGAAAGAACAGTGGTGGACTTTCCGTAAATAAGGTCATGATTTGGTTTCAGGCGGTGATGACCGACGTGGAGGTGGAAGTAGAGACCGAGACGGAGGTCGCAGAGGAGGTGGTGGTGGCGGCGGCGGATTCCGTGGAAGTGACCGAGGATTTGGCGGAGGTCGCGGCGGCGGAGGCCGTGGCGGTCCTCGAGGCGGTGGTGGATTTGGCGGAGGTCGTGGTGGTGGCGGCGGCGGCCGAGGAGGTGGCGGTGGAAGGTAATTGAATTGTTGGTTTTCTTATCGTGCATGTTTATCCTCTTTCGCTCTCGGCAAAACCTCTGGTGGTTTTGTCTGATTTTTATAAAGAGGAAAAAGCAAAATTCTCTATTAAAACCCACCATAGTCCAATCACATGGCTTTGAGTGTATCCTGTCTGGAGAAACACTTTCTTTTAACTGCATTATTTTGACTAGTATTTTATGTCGGTATTTGCCTTTAACCTTACCATGCCTTTTTATTACAGGGACCGAGGAGGTCGGGACGGAGGACGTCCTAAACCTTACTAGGGTTAAGTTTACATATAGAAATAAGTACGAGTGCGCTAATGTAATTTTCGTTTCATTTATAATAATGTACTAAGTAAATAGCAAGACTGTGGTTATTATGTAATTTATTTTTGTGAACGTAGTTTATTCGGTTTGTCGTTGAAGACAAATTTTACTAAAGTATATGAACATAATAAAGCTTTTAAAAATTTTCGTCGTATTATTAATTTCTTCCGTTATCGTCTACAGGTAGGTATTTCAATTATGTTTGAATATTACTGGCATTATTCAGCAATGTGTTTAAATCGATTTACCTGGAAGGTCAAGCGATGTTGACATTCTCAGGAGTATTTGGCCACGTCCAATGTAATTTATTTACATTGAAAGTGGGCAGAAGTTAGTGTACAACTTGTAAATATAGGCCAAGATAGTACGACAATACCGAGCGTATGGTTTAGGTATACTAAGACCATAGCTGATACTAAAAGCCACTCAAAACTGAAAACACTGGAACGTGATTGATTGATTAGTGAAGCACCATTATTACAAAATAATATTTATTGAAAAGAAAACTATCATCTCTAATGCATATTTATAAATAAATTCATTCTATATCTACGTTAATTTTATAACAAAAAGTACAATTTAATGATAAATGTTTATTAATAACCGATGAATATGTGAAAACTCACTAAAATGTACAAACAAAAACATACATCAGTGTAGTATCAGTATCCACGTTGTTGCAAAATGTTTTTACAGTATGATTTTATTAATAGTACTATTGCTTTCATATAGCGCTATAGCTCAATAGTTAGATTGCAAATGTACAAAAGCCCCTTGAAAACATCAAAATTTTAAAAGTGGTAGTACCAAAAAATTACGTAACTAAACAAGCCTGTCTTGGGTTCAGATAGTCAGTCATCAGTTGTTTCCCTTCTTCTTCTTCTGGTCCTGTTCCTGAAACAATAACGTTGCCTTTGTTAATATTGAACTAACATTTGAGCGCAAATGAATCAATGGAATTTCCATCAACCGCCCCTTAACACATTCGCTACCACTATTAGAAAGGCTTCATACCTCTTAGTGGTATCTGGCAATGACTTTGTCTCGGTATCAATTGAAACTATATCACATTGGTAATAATTGAGAAAGAAATAAACGTTCTAAGATGCAAAAAATGGTGGTAGATGGATTAAATTTACTAAATCATGTTTTTAAACCCAACTTTTGTTTCTGCAGTCCTTTTCCAGTTATTGTAGCCCTCAGTAACAAAAGTCAAACTGCTGGTTTCACCTTGTTTGAAGAAAAATCTACAAAGGAAAATGGAATACAGCATCTTTGAGAATGTGTACTTAATCCAAAGATACATGACATAATAACTGAACTTAAAACTACGAAGATACTACACAACCATACTGTTTTTTAGGAAAACTTGCTAAGACCCGGCTGTCTTGAAAGTTCATGTAGCGATAGAGCTACTTTTTCTTCTATATGAAAATATTTGTACTGTATTAATATTATGTACTTAAAAACTTACTTTTCAATTCCCGAACAACTCGGAATGTTTTTACGTTCCCAATCATTGTTGTCGAATTTGATCTGATTTTTTAATTTAATTTATTATTAATAACTATAATTAAAATAATTAACCGCGCCCAACCCTGCGGTCACTGCAGCGAATGTGTTAAATGTTCAGGGTTCAGTTGTGGTTGGATGAGTGAAAATCCAACAAAAATTAATAACCCATGAATGATATTGACCTATTCTCTATTACCTTCTGAGTAAGGATAATGAGCAGCCGCTTGAAGACTCCAATGAAGTCGACGAACAGATCCAACGAATGAGCCACAAAGTCCTTGCTGCCCATTCTTCTCTTTTCAATGATGGCCTGGGTGTCATAAAGCACGAATCCGCACATGGCGAACAAGCCCAAGTAAATCTGGATGTTCCATAGCAGAGTGGAGCCAAACAAGATATTGGCCAGGCTCATGAGCATTAGGCTGTTTAGCAGGGTAAACAGAGTGCCGCCCAAGTAGAGCCACTTTCCCCTTTCGGAGAAAATGGCACAGATGCTGAAGGACACGAAAACGACACTTGTTGCAATAAATGCTGTTATAATGATGCTAGGGTTGACTAGGATGACATGTTCCAGCAGAGGACCCATTCCAACGCCGGTTAATGTGGCGAAACCAAGGAGGTAGCCCACCCTTTTCATCATGCCTTTGCCATTGTCATCGGGAGTTGATATTAACAGGAAGAAGAAGATAATGGCTCCAATTCCAGACAGAAAACCTGCTTGCAGTAGGTTTGTGAATAGGTGTATTGAGCCGCCCACTCCAGCCGCCAAGGTGGACATCGCCAGGCAGGCGTAGACATTCTTGAGATGTTGCTTAACTGGAGGCTCCCTGTAATTAAAAAGTAATTATTGTTGCAATTATTCAGCTATTGTTTTATGAAAGGGCGCGTGTTTAAGTGAGGTGAGAGTTTTGTTTCTAAACACAAACTTCTCAAACGCTCTACCAATAGAGCTATAAGAACATATACTAAAGTATATGTTTACATCTAATATACATTAAATAACATCTAATATGTTTACATCTACAACCTACAGCAAATTCTACTAGAACCAATTATTCCGAACAAGGATTCGGTATAGTAAGAACAGCTAGAGATCTAAATTCCCGGCAAATCTGAAAATTTTGCACTTAAAAGTACAACTTTTACGCACCTAAATTCGGGCGAAATGTACAAACGAAAAAGCCAGTACCCTGAAACTACCTCAGAGAACAGCAATCCATAGAAGCAAATACGTGGAAAGCTGGCTGTTATTAAAGAAACCTCTGAAAAGTGCGTTATAGATTTTAACTAAACTCTGTGATAAGTGAAAACAAAGCCGTAGATCTTCTCCAGCGGACTCGTGTAGAACACTTTCACTATAACAATTTTTAAAGTAGGACAAGTCGAAAAGAAGAACATCCGCGTAAAGAACATTCGTTTTTCTTCAATTCTGAAAGTTTGGCTATTTCTATAATCACTCGTGATCTAACGATTTAAAACATTGTCTTTGCTATTTCAAATAAATCCCTATGATTACAGAATAATGTTTTTGGATTCGCAATTAATTTCCAAATATTTTCCTCTCAAACTCTTCTATATCCATCTCTAATCGTTTCCGAATATCCAATTATTATCAAAATTTGTTGTTCTAATTTTATATCGATTCTATTTTATTTTATCTCGATATTTATTCGATTATAACTGCGGCATCTGGCTTTGAAAAAAAAAAAAAAAAAAAAATTTTTGTTGTAGCATACCAAAGTACTAAACACGTTTTATCTACAAAGATAAAAAGGGCCAGTATAGGGATATCAAAACCGTAATTTATATGCTGTTGGTTAAATGGAAAAAGTTGCGCAATTAGAAGGTCAACAACCTAGCTCTTTAAACCTTTTGGTTAAAATTTCGGTTTTTTTGGTTCGAAAAAGACCTAAATTTCCTAATTTCGATTACATATGCATTATTTTTCGGCGTTAATAACAAATCTAGAACAAAACCGACTGCACGTTCCCGCAGCAACAAGTCAGCGAGAGAACCACATTATTACTTAGTTATATGCTCCGACGTTTCACCTCCAAGAAACCATCATCAATTTCGTTCTTTCAAATACGGCTCTGTCTGTTTAATAGCATAGCATAGGTATAGCAAATTTTTAAACCCCTTTTCATTCCGAAATCAACCATGCATGTTACGGTTTTATTATGTTTTGGTTTTTTGCTTGTCATTATTTTAAAATTATTATTGTGAAAATGATGATCATTTTTGCGTTTAGAGATAAAAACGTAGCAGACTAAATTAGTAACCAAATCCGTAACCTGTGAATATTAAAATTCGAATCACCCGCAACTAAACTAAAATTTATTGATCAAAACTCAATCCAGCAGAACCGCATTGTTTCAACCAAATAGCAAAACGAATAATACTTTTTGATTAATCATTAGATCACGATTGAATAAAGTAACAGACAAAACTTTAGAACAAAAGAACCCCTATCGAATCTTACGTAGAAATTTTCGAAACAAAATCAAGCATAGAAAATGATTCACACTTCAGAGGAAGAACCTGACTACAGGCAGCAGCTAAAAGAAGCTCAACATCAAATATAATGGACCACACCCTAAAAAAAAACAAAAACTTGAGACCGTAATTTGCATCAAAGACGTAAAGGATACCAAACAAGCAATGAAACTAGTGAAACAGAATATTTGCAAATAAAATAAAATAATTGAAGCACTTAAAATTACAAGATGTAGTGAAAGTAGAGAACAACACAGGGCATTAAAAAAGTTCATACTGTTTCAAAAATGTTGGATTTAGAGAAGTTGATCACTTTAGTGAACACCTGGTATAATATTAAAATGTGTAAGTCTCCTAAATAAACAACTGATTCGATAGCTGGCATTTATTTTAGTATAAAGTCTAATGCGCCCTACAATCGGATTTGTTTATCTTTAGCTAAGAATGTTGTTTTGTTCACAGCGATCATCCAAACAAGTTGGAATGTGAAACTTGTCTTTGAAAATATCGCTGAGCGAAGACAGGTACTTTGTACGAAATTGTCAACATTAAACAAGTGAAATTGAACTGCAAAGCAAAGCAATTAGTCATCTAAAGGGCGACCGAGCAAATGATTATATCATGTTGCTTCGGTAGTTCCTTAAGGTGCGTCCAGACCACAGCGTAATACCGCGCCAAACATTCGCGAACGTTCACACACAATTTGCGCCTTGCGTCTACGTTGCTGCAACAATAATTTAAAATGTTTGCATTTGCCAAGGTTCCAGCTTGCGCAGCGAAATAAATGTGCTGTTCGTCATGGATGATGCTAAAATTGTAGCGGCAGCTTTCATAATTTTGGGTGATTTATCTAAAAGGAAAAAATAGAGTGAATATTTCGCACTGCAAATTTCAGAGCAGAAGCTTATTATTATTATGGCAGTGATTTGCTATGCGACCTGGTAATTGCAGATACTGGACAATTTAAAAATTTCTGTCGATTGTCTAGGCAAAGCTAGTAAATGCAGACCATCTGCTGGAATAAACCTCCTGTCCTAAAATGTATCAAGTTTTTCAATTTAAGTTGATGTCTGATTGATTTAAGAAAATATCTTTTCCAGTTCTTGTTGTAGTTTTAATTTTGGCTCTTTCCCTTCGAAATGAAGACAACAATGAACTCATTTTTGCTTTAATCGATTCTATGTCGCTCTTCATCTCTGTTGCGATTTTCAGCCATGCATCGTATTTTTTATTTCGTAACTGGTAATTTTTATTACCGCAATCCCATAATTCACGCTGATTTTTTTTTAAATTTGCAACGTTCGCGAATCTTTGGCGCGGCGGTATTGCGGTGCGGTCTGGAAGTACCTTTAGAAATACGGAAAAAAATTCGATATGACATGAGTGTTCTAAAAACTGTTTGAACAGTCAGTTCCTTACAGACAACGAATGGAATATGTTGCCAGCCCTTTGTGTTATTTGAATCCCGTTCTTAGATGGGAAATATAGAATCATAGTGGCCCTTATGGGAAGTGCAACAGTTGCTCTTTCCTCCTACTACCGGATTGAAGTTTCCAAATCTGAATGCGTTATCATTGTATGGTCAAGTGTAGTGTGAACTTTTTGAGGATTACCTAATGGGCGTAAACTGGAAGACGGGCCCCCCAGCTTGCAGAAAGTTAGTAAGAATGATCTCTAATCTATAAATCTCTTAACTTGAAATTATTTTTGTTTTTCGAAAAGCAACTGCAGTTTTATGCATTCATTACATTTCTGATGTCCAAATTTCTTTTCAGTCTGATGGACAAATTTCCTGCGGTACTAAACAGATTTTCTTCCTTCTTTTCAGATGGCATGATGCAGCTTTCGGTAAGTTTTGCATTAATTTACCTTGGTTGCCATGTAGGACAAAAATCTTTTAGTTCCATATATGTGGTTATAAACTCGAGATTTTCTATGGGAGGCTGTTTTATACGAAGTTTTACAGTCTAAATGTCAAATAAATTTCGTTCCCCTGTGCATTAGCTATCAATCAGAGGTTGAGCCAAGATTGAGATTCTCCCAATGAGAATTGACTAAAATTCAATCAATAACCTTGTACTTTGCAACTCTGATCAACAATTCTTAATAACAATTTTCGATATTCTCACAAACTAAGGTACTTTATTCTTGAGGAAAATTCGTGTTTTCTGATTTACCTCGTATACGACTGAAATAAAATAATATCGGATGGTTGCATTTTAGGGTTTGCACCGAGCAGAACTTTCTATGTCACCGAAACATTCGATTTTTGTACAGTAATTTTCCAGTTTATTAGGCTGTAGCGTTCGAAGTTAAGAGTATCTTGTTCCCTAATCCCGTTAGGAACAACTTCTCATAGCAGTGTTTTTTGTAGATTCTAAATCCCTTCAAGCGTTTTTGTTACTATCGTTTATATTTTTTTTTAAATAACGTTAAGCAATTATTTGCACACAATCTAAGATGACGTCCTTTGTTTTCTTATAGAAAAAAAAATGGTGTGCGTCACAGGACG